GCTCATTTTACCAGAATTTCAAATTTCTCTAGTAAAAAATTACAACATGAGGAATCTTGGAACCTGGAAAACTAGTGAAGGGAAAATTTTGAAACTTTTTCCATATAAAGAGGAAGGTGAGAACGACATTTTCCCAAAATTTCAAATTTTTTAAGTGGAAAACAATATGAAAAATCTTGGAAATCAACCTACAGAAACTGAATTAGTTGAAAATACAGTCTCACACATTTCAAAGTTTTCCTGGAAAACTAGTGAAGGGAAAATTTTGAAACTTTTTGCATGTAAAGAGGAAGGTGAGAACATCATTTTCCCAAAAATTAAAATTTTTCCAGTGGAAAACAGTAACATGAAAAATCTTGGAAATCAACCTACAAAAACTGAATTAGTTGAAAATACAGTCTAATACATTTCGAAGTTTTCCTGGAAAATTAGTGAAGGGAAAATTTTCAAACTTTTCGCATGTAAAGAGGAAGGTGAGAACATCATTTTCCCAAAATTTCAAATTTTTGTAGCAACATGAAAAATCTTGGAAATCAACCTACAAAAACTGAATTAGTTGAAAATACAGTCTTACACATTTCAAAGTTTTCCTGGAAAACTAGTGAAGGAAAAATTTTGAAACTTTTTGCATATAAAGAGGAAGGTGAGAACGACATTTTCCCAAGATTTCAAATTTTTTAAGTGGAAAACAATATGAAAAATCTTGGAAATCAACCTACAGAAACTGAATTAGTTGAAAATACAGTCTCACACATTTCAAAGTTTTCCTGGAAAACTAGTGAAGGAAAAATTTTGAAACTTTTTGCATATAAAGAGGAAGGTGAGAACGACATTTTCCCAAGATTTCAAATTTTTTAAGTGGAAAACAATATGAAAAATCTTGGAAATCAACCTACAGAAACTGAATTAGTTGAAAATACAGTCTCACACATTTCAAAGTTTTCCTGGAAAACTAGTGAAGGGAAAATTTTGAAACTTTTTGCATGTAAAGAGGAAGGTGAGAACATCATTTTCCCAAAAATTAAAATTTTTCCAGTGGAAAACAGTAACATGAAAAATCTTGGAAATCAACCTACAAAAACTGAATTAGTTGAAAATACAGTCCCACACATTTCAAAGTTTTCCTGGAAAACTAGTGAAGGAAAAAATTTAAAACTTTTTGCATGTAAAGTGGAAGGTGAGAAGCTCATTTTCCCAAAATTTCAAATTTTTGCAGTGGAAAACGGCAACATGAAAAATCTTGGAAATCAACCTACAAAAACTGAATTAGTTGAAAATACAGTCCCACACATTTCAAAGTTTTCTTGGAAAACTAGTGACGGGAGAAATTTGAAACTTTTTGCATGTAAAGAGAAAGGTTAGAAGCTCATTTTACCAGAATTTCAAATTTCTCTAGTAAAAAATTACAACATGAGGAATCTTGGAACCTGGAAAACTAGTGAAGGGAAAATTTTGAAACTTTTTCCATATAAAGAGGAAGGTGAGAACGACATTTTCCCAAAATTTCAAATTTTTTAAGTGGAAAACAATATGAAAAATCTTGGAAATCAACCTACAGAAACTGAATTAGTTGAAAACACAGTCTCACACATTTCAAAGTTTTCCTGGAAAACTAGTGAAGGGAAAATTTTGAAACTTTTTGCATGTAAAGAGGAAGGTGAGAACATCATTTTCCCAAAGTTTCAAATTTTTCCAGTGGAAAACAGCAACATGAAAAATCCTGGAAATCAACCTACAAAAACTGAATTAGTTGAAAATACAGTCTAATACATTTCGAAGTTTTCCTGGAAAATTAGTGAAGGGAAAATTTTCAAACTTTTCGCATGTAAAGAGGAAGGTGAGAACATCATTTTCCCAAAATTTCAAATTTTTGTAGCAACATGAAAAATCTTGGAAATCAACCTACAAAAACTGAATTAGTTGAAAATACAGTCTCACACATTTCAAAGTTTTCCTGGAAAACTAGTGAAGGGAAAATTTTGAAACTTTTTGCATGTAAAGAGGAAGGTGAGAACATCATTTTCCCAAAATTTCAAATTTTTGTAGCAACATGAAAAATCTTGGAAATCAACCTACAGAAACTGAATTAGTTGAAAATACAGTCTCACACATTTCAAAGTTTTCCTGGAAAACTAGTGAAGGAAAAATTTTGAAACTTTTTGCATATAAAGAGGAAGGTGAGAACGACATTTTCCCAAGATTTCAAATTTTTTAAGTGGAAAACAATATGAAAAATCTTGGAAATCAACCTACAGAAACTGAATTAGTTGAAAACACAGTCTCACACATTTCAAAGTTTTCCTGGAAAACTAGTGAAGGGAAAATTTTGAAACTTTTTGCATGTAAAGAGGAAGGTGAGAACATCATTTTCCCAAAGTTTCAAATTTTTCCAGTGGAAAACAGCAACATGAAAAATCCTGGAAATCAACCTACAAAAACTGAATTAGTTGAAAATACAGTCTAATACATTTCGAAGTTTTCCTGGAAAATTAGTGAAGGGAAAATTTTCAAACTTTTCGCATGTAAAGAGGAAGGTGAGAACATCATTTTCCCAAAATTTCAAATTTTTGTAGCAACATGAAAAATCTTGGAAATCAACCTACAAAAACTGAATTAGTTGAAAATACAGTCTCACACATTTCAAAGTTTTCCTGGAAAACTAGTGAAGGGAAAATTTTGAAACTTTTTGCATGTAAAGAGGAAGGTGAGAACATCATTTTCCCAAAATTTCAAATTTTTGTAGCAACATGAAAAATCTTGGAAATCAACCTACAGAAACTGAATTAGTTGAAAATACAGTCTCACACATTTCAAAGTTTTCCTGGAAAACTAGTGAAGGAAAAATTTTGAAACTTTTTGCATATAAAGAGGAAGGTGAGAACGACATTTTCCCAAGATTTCAAATTTTTTAAGTGGAAAACAATATGAAAAATCTTGGAAATCAACCTACAGAAACTGAATTAGTTGAAAATACAGTCTCACACATTTCAAAGTTTTCCTGGAAAACTAGTGAAGGAAAAATTTTGAAACTTTTTGCATATAAAGAGGAAGGTGAGAACGACATTTTCCCAAGATTTCAAATTTTTTAAGTGGAAAACAATATGAAAAATCTTGGAAATCAACCTACAGAAACTGAATTAGTTGAAAATACAGTCTCACACATTTCAAAGTTTTCCTGGAAAACTAGTGAAGGAAAAATTTTGAAACTTTTTGCATATAAAGAGGAAGGTGAGAACGACATTTTCCCAAGATTTCAAATTTTTTAAGTGGAAAACAATATGAAAAATCTTGGAAATCAACCTACAGAAACTGAATTAGTTGAAAATACAGTCTCACACATTTCAAAGTTTTCCTGGAAAACTAGTGAAGGGAAAATTTTGAAACTTTTTGCATGTAAAGAGGAAGGTGAGAACATCATTTTCCCAAAAATTAAAATTTTTCCAGTGGAAAACAGTAACATGAAAAATCTTGGAAATCAACCTACAAAAACTGAATTAGTTGAAAATACAGTCCCACACATTTCAAAGTTTTCCTGGAAAACTAGTGAAGGAAAAAATTTAAAACTTTTTGCATGTAAAGTGGAAGGTGAGAAGCTCATTTTCCCAAAATTTCAAATTTTTGCAGTGGAAAACGGCAACATGAAAAATCTTGGAAATCAACCTACAAAAACTGAATTAGTTGAAAATACAGTCCCACACATTTCAAAGTTTTCTTGGAAAACTAGTGACGGGAGAAATTTGAAACTTTTTGCATGTAAAGAGAAAGGTTAGAAGCTCATTTTACCAGAATTTCAAATTTCTCTAGTAAAAAATTACAACATGAGGAATCTTGGAACCTGGAAAACTAGTGAAGGGAAAATTTTGAAACTTTTTCCATATAAAGAGGAAGGTGAGAACGACATTTTCCCAAAATTTCAAATTTTTTAAGTGGAAAACAATATGAAAAATCTTGGAAATCAACCTACAGAAACTGAATTAGTTGAAAACACAGTCTCACACATTTCAAAGTTTTCCTGGAAAACTAGTGAAGGGAAAATTTTGAAACTTTTTGCATGTAAAGAGGAAGGTGAGAACATCATTTTCCCAAAGTTTCAAATTTTTCCAGTGGAAAACAGCAACATGAAAAATCCTGGAAATCAACCTACAAAAACTGAATTAGTTGAAAATACAGTCTAATACATTTCGAAGTTTTCCTGGAAAATTAGTGAAGGGAAAATTTTCAAACTTTTCGCATGTAAAGAGGAAGGTGAGAACATCATTTTCCCAAAATTTCAAATTTTTGTAGCAACATGAAAAATCTTGGAAATCAACCTACAAAAACTGAATTAGTTGAAAATACAGTCTCACACATTTCAAAGTTTTCCTGGAAAACTAGTGAAGGGAAAATTTTGAAACTTTTTGCATGTAAAGAGGAAGGTGAGAACATCATTTTCCCAAAATTTAAAATTTTTCCAGTGGAAAACAGTAACATGAAAAATCTTGGAAATCAACCTACAAAAACTGAATTAGTTGAAAATACAGTCCCACACATTTCAAAGTTTTCCTGGAAAACTAGTGAAGGAAAAAATTTAAAACTTTTTGCATGTAAAGTGGAAGGTGAGAAGCTCATTTTCCCAAAATTTCAAATTTTTGCAGTGGAAAACGGCAACATGAAAAATCTTGGAAATCAACCTACAAAAACTGAATTAGTTGAAAATACAGTCCCACACATTTCAAAGTTTTCTTGGAAAACTACTGAAGAGAAAATTTTGAAACTTTTTGCATGTAAAGAAGAAGGTGAGAAGCTCATTTTCTCAAAATTTAAAATTTTTCCAGTGGAAAACAGCAACATGAGGAATAGGTATTGAAAATAAAAAGCCGGGAATTTCTAAACATTGAATTTTAAAACCAATCAAAAGCCAGGAAAATTTAAAAAATTGAATTTTAAAGCCAATCAAGAATTAATAAAATAGCTCAAATTTAACTTAAGGTGAGCCGGGAATAAAATTTATTTGTTTCCAGATCGATGCCCCAGTAGTATCATGCATCTACTGCAACGTCTCCTTCACTGACAAAATGGAGCTCAGAGCCCACTGTCAAACCGAATTGCACGAAATGATGATAATGTCTGACGAGGGACACGATTGGTTCTGGCGACCTCCACCCAGAGGCTTTAAGTCTGACACTTACGTTTTGTGCCAGAACTGGAAAGATACTGGAACTTGCAGGTAGAAACACAATAATCAGTTCAATTTACACAATACAATTATTCTAGGTATGGGGTTCAATGTGTTCAAGCTCACGGCGATGAAGAACTAATCGAATGGGTAGAACGTTTCAGGTATAGAGAAATGAAATTGCAACGGGCAAGAGAAAAAGAGCTATTTGGTTAGTTACTATTGCAATCTATAATATCTCCTTTTCATTGAAATTTTTTGCAGGCAAATCCTATACAGAAGAACTATTAGACAAATGGGTGCAATCTCCGAATCCAGAAACTCTAATGTGCGATCACATTGAAGAAGTAGACGATCAATGCTCTTGTCCTCTATCAGTGACAGTATCATCAAAAACCAGCTTCCACAATTGGACTTTCCTTATTAAAACCCGCAAACCTTTAAAAGCAGTAGCTTTGTTGCAAGATACTCACAGAACGCACTTTTATATTTCCAGTATTTTTGTTAAAAATGCCCGAGTCGAACTGAAAAACGATCAGGAATGGATTGCGCACTTGTGCCTGCAAGACTCATTTGCAATAGTCGAGTATCGAATCACTGTAATGTTTAAAACGAGCATTTTTGGTACTTTTAGGCAAAGCGTAGTGTTTGATTTCACTACAGGGCCTGTTTTGGTCAAACATTTGTGCGCTGACTTAGTACCGGAAGCCGAACTAGATAAAATAAACGAAATTCGCAAAGAACTAATACTGTCAATAGCAGAACGATGGAATTTTCATAATTCCGATATAGTGCATTTTCATTCTGAGTTGGTTAGTTTTGGTGCGGGTGAGGAATGGGAAAAGAAGCTAAAGTCAATGTATCCGTGTCCGCAAGTTGATACGTTTGTTTTAAGCCGCTCTACGCTATCCGACAAAAAATTTACAAAAAACAACTACAGAGAACGCATGCACGAGCTGTTGTTTATAGAAGAAATGGCCCGTTATGATTTGATAGCACATTACAATTTGACTACCAAGCTTCAGATAACTCACAGCTATATTCTTTCGCCTAATAGCATGGCTGCGAGTACTGCTAAATATTCGAATAATGGTGAATTGTTTGCTTCTATTGGGTTGGGCAGGGAATTGTCTGAAGATACTTCAGAAGGCAGGTTGATTTTGATGCATTGCAATACTGTTTATTTGTGTCCTGCTACGCAAAATGTTAGTAGGAGGAAGGTTTATGAGGCTTTGATTGAGGATAAAGGGAAGGATACTATTTATTTGAGGTAAGTGGTGATTGTAGTTATAATGTAGCTTTTTATCCCAGTGTAAAGAGACTCTATGAGAGTTTAGTAGCAGATGTAATTTATTTATTTATTCATTTATGTAATGTAATGTATTTATGTAATAACAATATCTGTTGTATCTACTGGATGTTTCTCAGAGATCTTAAATAACTGTAGAGGAGCTCCTAATGATTTTTTCTTGACTCTAACATGCCAAATCAAGCAATCAAGAAAATCCCTTTACAAGTGTATCAAGGTGGGAGTATGTAAGGTGATGAACTCGTTACCCGTTCACCTATTTTTTATATTATGTACCTTTTAATGATAAGCATGGTAGAAAAAGTTGAGTTTTTTGCATGAAAACAAAAAACTCAACTTTTTCTTCCACATTCCTTAACACACACCGCTTCAAATTTCCAATTCTGTGATTGTCAAGTTTATAATACACACAACCGCAATGTCTAGGGATAATTTAGTATTTAGCTTGAATTAAAAAAAAATAGTCAAAGGTTATTTATTTATTTTATTTACTATGTGTATGAAAAAACGACTACATTAGCATCATTTCGTCGTCTTGCATACGAAAGGGCGTATCTAAAAAATCCTAATTTCCCAGGAGAGCGGTTTGAAATTTTTGATACAATCAAAACTTCCGCCACACAAATACAATAAGGTTTGCATTGCTGTTATAGGGTTTTTTCAGTCAGAAAAAAAAAAAAAAACAGCAACAAAATATCGACCAAAGACATAATAGTCTAGGAAAATTGTCGATTTTCAAAAAAAAAATCCTACCCTAAAGAACTTTTCAGGGATGATAGGGGGAGGGTGGGTGATCATAAAACCGAAAATATCAAACATTCACCCCTCTGGCGTTTTGCGCTATAGGGGTTGAAAGTGCGCCATTGGCGATTACTTGGTACCTACTGATTTTACAAAAAAATGTTTCAAATAAAAGATGTGCAACATTATTTGATCTACAATGTTTATCTAATAGTATATTATGCAATATACACTATTTTTTCTACTGCCATTGATAAAACTTATGATATTTAGATATGTCAACATTATGCTTAACTTTGAATAGAGATTTTATAATTGAGTAATGCGTCCATACAGTTGAAGGTTTTATTTTTTGTTGTAATTTTTCAAAATATACTATCAACTATCAGAACATTTTCTGAGAAGGACGATGTGTTTTTGGTGTTTCTCCAATCCATAAATTGTCCATATAATTTTTCGTAAATTTTCTTGGACTTGTCCGGTAGTATTACCTGCATTTGTCGCCCTTCATGTAATTTCTGGAGGTGTTAGTGAAAATTCTTCGTTATCACTCAATATTTCCACAATAATGCCTTCTCCCAAACTTTAGGTATTAACTTTTAATAACAATTTGAGGTATTTTTTTTATAAAATTATTGTTTTTCGCTAAATTACCATGGAAAAGCTATAAATAGAGTGCTGCCAACATTCAAAAAAAAAAATCAAATTTTTTTAACTGATGGCGCCATCCATTGACAATGTATAATAATGAAAAAAGTAAAAATTCTTCCTTATCATTGATTATTTCCATAATAATTATTCTTTGTCCTAAACTTTTATTTATTTATTTATTTCACACTACAGAGGTATACAATGGGTATATAAATATTCAATGTGAAGTACAATACATCTTTTTTTTTTTTTCTTCAAAAAGCACCTAAGTGATTTAACACTTGTGTTGTGCTGAGATTATAAACTAGATTACAAATTTATTATACCTAAGAATGGTTAATTTATAGTTACAATTACAATACAGTGAAGTGTACATAATATACATAATGTGCAATATACCTAAAAGAAAACAGAAAGTCAGTAGCTTAGGTTGGTTGGTACTACTACTACTACTTAATTCAAAATTTTATCAAATGCTATCAAATTATGAAATAGTATATTACAATCCGAGACGGAAAATACTTCATTGCTGGTCGAGAGGTTATTATAGTTTATCGAGACGCGAAGCGTCGAGATAAACTCAACCTCGAGACAGAAATGAAGTTTTCCGTCGAGGTTTGTATACTTTTTTATTTTCAACCCTTAATTTTCTGATGCAAAAACTAAAGATTCTGTTATACGAAATTTTCATATAGTGTAAAACTGGCCTTAGAAAAAAATATTTCACTTTTTTTGTCAATGTCATCAATTTTGACGATCTCAAAGGCCCTGTAAAGGTCAAAACAAAAGACGAAACCACAGGAAACCGCAAAATCAACAACCATAGATAAGATCAACAACGCCTTAACGACGGTAGTTTTCGCTCAGTATTTTTGCGGAAATAATAGATTTTCACTAGATTTCTCCCCGTTCTCCCCAAAGAAATGATTTCGGAAAGTGAAGATGAAGCGATGGATTGTACCCCACCTGAATTAAAAGAAGCAGCAGACAGGATTGGAGAGAGTTTGCTTCCAGCAAAAAGCAAATTTCGGTACGAAAAGGCTTTTCAAATATTCGAAGCATGGTGTAGCCAGAAAGGAACGAGAAATACTGCCTCGCAGACCGTTTTGTTGGCGTATTTTGGCGAATTATCTAAGGAAAAGAAGCCTTCGACTTTATGGTCGACTTACAGTATGTTGAAAACCATGATTAAATTGAAAGAGAAAGTTGATATCTCCAATTACGCAAAACTTATAGCTTTTTTGAAGCGGCAAAATCTGGGCTTTCAGCCGAAAAAGTCGAGCGTTTTTTCCAGAGAAAACATTAACGAGTTCCTCACGAAGGCAGCTGAAGAATTCATTAGCATCAAGGTAGGTTTTCAAAAAATATACAAAGAAGATAAAAATGCGAAAATCAAAATGATTTTCTGTATGCTATAGCTAGGTTACCCATTTTATTTTTATCTGGTTTCAGGTAGCGCTAATTGTTGGTGTGTCGGGTGCATGTAGGAGCGATGAACTAGTCAAGATGAAAATGGAGCACGTCAACGTTTTGGAAGGAAAGATCGCTATAGAAATTCCACACACAAAAACTTACACAAGTCGATCGTTTATCATAAGCGATCCAGATTGGGTTGCTATTTTCCACAAATACCTCACTTTGCGGAAAAATTTGAAAAATGACAGGTTATTTGTTCAATGGCGAAATGGGAAATTACATAACCAAGCAATTGGCTATCATTCAATCTCAAAATTTCCACATAAAATAGCTGCTTTTTTGAAGCTTCCAAAAATTGAAACTTTTACAGGGCATGCTTTTCGTCGTACTTCCGCAACCTTATTGGTTGACAACGGGGCCGATCTATTGCAACTCAAAAGACTGGGAGGGTGGAAATCGAGCACGGTTGCTGAAGGCTACATAGAGGCATCTTTGGAGAACAAAAGTAAGACTGCTCTGATGCTATCCTCTACTTCCAAAGGTATTCAGTTGTCCAGTGCATCCACAAGTACATCACATGCGGAAACTCATCCGCAAGCGCAAGAGATAATAGTTCCAAACGAAACACAATTCCAACAGGATGGTCTCAAGATTTCCATTATAAACAACAATGCTAATTTAACAATTAATGTAAATAAGTGAATAGATTTAATTAGTTCCATGTAATACATGTGGTTTTATTATTATATGTGAGAGCTGTATGAAAATTATCAATTTGGAACGAGCAGGGAAATGGGGACGGAAAAGCATTTGCCGTCCCGGACGGAAAATGCTTTTCCGTCCTAGGCAGGCATATGCATTACCGTCCCGATAAATGTCAAAGTCCAGAAATGTGACACTTTCAAGATTTTGAAAAACCTGCAATGTCAACATTACATATGTGGTTGAAAATAAAATATATTTTTCCTACGAGCGTGCGCAAAGTAGTACTTTTCCGCACGCATTTCCGGGCTCAAAGTTACACTTTTCCGCACTCAGTGCGGATACAGGCCTTATCCGCACTGAGTGCCGAAAAGTAATTATAATTGTCAAGCAACAATAAGTGCACCTGTCGACTTTGACACATGATGACAAATTTTTCCTCTATTTCTATATCAGCCAACATCTATACAAACACCAATTATAAATTAACTTTGACCCATCAGATTTGTTCTCTATTTATATGCAAAAATCTATAAACTTTCTCATCAAATTTAAACGCTTTAAGATGAACAGCTCTGACGAGGATTTTCTGTTATTTGTTTCTGTTATGTAATTTTTTGATAAATGCATAGGTTCCTTTCAAGTTAATTAAAAATAATTAAACAAATTATCGTTTTTTTTTAAATTTTTGTTATTATCTACCTGATATGAAGCTCGTAGGAAAAATGTTGTTCCTAACACGTGCGCAAAGTGTCTTTTCCGCACGCAAACACGTATCCGAACTCCGCTTCGCGTCGTTCGTATAACTGTGTTTGCGTGCGGAAAAGTAACACTTTGCGCACTTGTTAGGAAAATAACTATTTCCTACGAGCGTGCGCAAAGTAGTACTTTTCCGCACGCATTTCGGTACTCAAAGTTACACTTTTCCGCACTCAGTGCGGATACAGGCCTTATCCGCACTGAGTGCCGAAAAGTAAAAATAATTGTCAAGCAACAATAAGTGTACCTGTCGACTTTGACACATGATGACAAGTTTTTCTCTGTTTCTTTAGCAGCCTACATCTATACGAACACCGAATATAATTAACTTTGACACATTGTCAGATTTGTTCTCTATTTATATGCAAGAATCTACAAACTTTCTCATCAAATTTAAACGCTTTAAGATGAACAGCTCTGACGAGGATTTTTTATTATTATTTTTTTTGTTACGTAATTGTTTGATAAATGCGTAGGTTCGCTCCAAGTTAATTAAAAATAATTGAACAAATTATCGTTTTTTTTTTTAAAATTTTTGTTGTTACCTACTTAATATGAAGCTCGTAGGAAAAATTTTGTTCCTAACACGTGCGCAAAGTGTCTTTTCCGCACGCAAACACTTATCCGAACTCCGCTTCGCGTCGTTCGTATAACTGTGTTTGCGTGCGGAAAAGTAACACTTTGCGCACTTG